ATTTATGCAACGTTGGAATCATCAGCATATAAATATATGTTAACATCCTCGCAAATATTTGGTAGATCATTTATATATAGAAGAAACAGTAAAGGACCTAAAACTACACTTATTCATTTAAATAATCTACGAAATGAATGCACCGCGTTAACAGAGACTTTCAGATTTAAATGATGAACATTTTCTTATTAAAGTAATACATTTCTTTTTAAATCAGATTTATACATTGATAACATACGTGCAATTTCATGTGTTATTTATTACTTTTCGCGGCCCCAGGATGTCGTAGATTTTACATTATACTTTCCCGTGCTACTTTGTACGTAAATGGCGCTTTGTGATACGTTGACGTCTGTGATGTCATTATTGTTTATTATTGTTGTTGTTATTGTTTGACGTAGATACTTGTAATAAACTGAGAAAAGAAGACACAACGCTGTACGTAGTACTTTATCAACTAATATACGATAAACGGAAAGGTCCATTGGACTATGCTGGTGACAAGATCGTTACATAAGGGAGATAAATGATTCTACACTTAATAAAATAAGATTAATTTCCCTTGATTTTAAAAAGATTTTTTTTCTCACTAGGCCGGTTTAATAAAACACATTTGTTTCCTGTCTTCTAATCAATGTGCAAACACTTGTGCGCCGGAGAAATTTCTAAATGACATTTTTCAGGCATATATTTTTATTGTCTGTATTAATTTACTTAAAACTGGCCTCTGAAGCAATAAAATTAAGTTGTGATAAGTCTATGCTTTTGCTATTCAAAAATTTAGGTGCATAGTTTGTTTCATAATGTATGTCATAGTCTATCAAAAACTCATGCTAAAATATTTTTGTCATCTATGAAGTGTTTGTTAATTATAATCAGAATAATAACTATATAATCTATATGTATTAGATTATAATGTGATAATAAGCTGTTTAACAATAAGATCCTTAGTTAGTTTCATAATTTATAGCTATAGTCAATTTCACAGTTTCAAAAACCCATGCTATTTTATGTTTTTTGGCATCATGGATTTTTTTTTAATCAGATGATTATTCAGAATTTGTTTTAATAATAAGAACCAATAAATCTATTTATAAGGTTATGTTGCCATAATATAATTCTATGTTTCCGCTGACAAAAAATCTGGTGCATAGTTTATTTCATAATTTATGGCTGTTGAATGGATGCAGTTTGTTTCATGCAAGTTTTATTCTTTCTTGGGTTAGCAATCCTGTCATATGACACTGTTCTTTACAATGACATACATGTTCAAGACAGGAAAATTCTTGTATGTCTGTTTTCACTGTTCTGTTAAAGCTAAAACACAGGTTGAGTGGATGATGATCCACGTGAAGGGTACTTGAATGAATAATGATCCACGTAAAGGTTAGGTTGAATTAACATTGAGCCATAAAAATGATGTGTGTTGAATGAGTGATGATCCATGTTAAGGCTAGGTCGAATGAACAGAATAAAACAAACAAGGCCTAGTTTAGCAAACTTCAAAAATCAAATATGTGTCAGTTATAAAACTGAGAAATATATTTCGGAACAATCTTTTAAACTCGATTATTTTGAAAATTCTTGGCAAAAGTATATCAATCTGATTGAGTAAAGTTGATAATTTTCTTTTGACATTCTAAATCCGCACTTCCAAATAATACTATAAGGATACTTCCACCAGCCCCTATCTCATCCATTGCAGCAAAAAAGTGTTCAGAGTTTTAAACTAAAATAAAAAAAGAACCCTAAAGAAAGTCCAAAACGGCAAAATGGAAAAAGTTGCAGGCGTAAGTCTTAAGTTACTCAGGTTAAGCTTGCATAGATAGCACCTAGCCCTTTTTCTAGTGTCTTTTTTTCTCTCTTTTTTTCTCTTCCCGTTTTTTATACCCTTAGAAATTTCATTAACCAATAGTATATAATTTAAAATATGGTTTTGCAAAACTCAAACTTGATTGAAAACAATTTGTGTAGTAATATACTGTTTTTATCTTTTTTTAATTCTTGAATTTTCACTTGTTCACAAGTTTTTGTTTCTGATTATATCACCTTTAAACTTTATTAAAAGATAAGACATGATATAGAATATAGACATGTACTTAAAATTGGAACTTTTTGTTGTACCAATTGGGATAAATGTGTTTATGTTTATGATGTTGTTTATAAATTGAAAGAGACTTATTCTTTATCTATTAAGTGGTCAACAACCTGTTGTTATAAAAACTTCTTCTCTTTACTTTGTAGATAATAATGGAGATTTTAGAGGTCAGATAAGAATATTCTCCTAATTAATGCTACATTCCTCCAAATATCAAAACAGTAATTAAGAAATTTAATCTGATTTTTAATAAATATCCACAAGTACATTGTTAAACTGTTTTAAACAACTGAAGGAAGTAATTAAAGCAAGTTTTTTTTATCTCATTATTTTTGTACGAACCTTTTTCTCATTTTTAATGCAAATTATCAGAAATTCAATGAACTCACTCCATCTATATAATTAACAGTTCTTTGAATATACAGTTACATCTTAAAATTTCTTTGAAATTATCTATCTCTTTTTAAAGGCTTACACATTATAGTATAAAAGAAACTTAATGATCTACATGAACTTTTATGTGTTAATGAACTTTTATCTTGTTTGACACAAATGTTATATAAACTAATTGTTAGGTACACCAACCCCTAAAAATGTATGTTAAATGGATGATGATCCACGTTAAGGCTAGGTTGAATGAACATTGTTCAATATAAAACGTATGTTGAATGGATGATGATCCACGTAAAGGCTAGGTTGATTTAACAATGATCCATATAAAATGTATAATGAATGGATGATGATCCGAGTAAAGGCTGGGTTGATTTAACATTGTTCAATATAAAATATATGTTAAATGGATGATGATCCACGTGAAGGCTAGGTTGAATTAACATTGTTCAATATAAAACGTATGTTGAATGGATGATGATCCACGTAAAGGCTAGGTTGATTTAACAATGATCCATATAAAATGTATGTTGAATGGATGATGAATCACGTAAAGGCTAGGTTGAGTTAACAATGATCCATATGAAATGTATGTTAAATGGATGATGATCCACGTTAAGGCTAGGTTGAATAAACAATGATCCATATAAAATGTATGTTGAATGGATGATGATCCACGTAAAGGCTAAGTTCAATTAACAATGATCCATATGAAATGTATGTTGAATGGATGATGATCCAAGAAAAGGCTAGGTTGAATTAACAATGATACATATAAAATGTGTGTTGAATGGATGATGATCCACGTAAAGGCTAAGGTTGAGTTAACAATGATCCATATAAAATGTATGTTGAATGGATGATGATCCACGTAAAGGCTAGGTTGATTTAACAATGATCCATATAAAATGTATGTTGAATGGATGATGATCCACGTAAAGGCTAAGTTGAATTAACAATGATCCATATGAAATGTATGTTGAATGGATGATGATCCAAGAAAAGGCTAGGTTGAATTAACAATGATACATATAAAATGTGTGTTGAATGGATGATGATCCACGTAAAGGCTAGGTTGAGTTAACAATGATCCATATAAAATGTATGTTGAATGGATGATGATCCACGTAAAGGCTAGGTTGAATTAACAATGAAACATATAAAATGTATGTTGAATGGATGATGATCCATGTAAAGGCTAGGTTGAATTAACAATGATCCATATGAAATATATGTTGAATGGATGATGATCCAAGAAAAGGCTAGGTTGAATTAACAATGATACATATAAAATGTGTGTTGGATGGATGATGATCCACGTTAAGGCAAGGTTGAATTAACAATGGTCCATGTAAAATGTATGTTGAATGGATGATGATCCACGAAAAGGCTAGGTTGAATTAACATTGATCCATATAAAATATATGTTAAATGGATGATGATCCACGTGAAGGCTAGGTTGAATTAACAATGATACATATGAAATGTACGTTGAATGGATGATGATCCACGAAAAGGGTATGGACCATATACAGATAGGGCAGCTTGTATGATTAATGATCCACATCAAAATTATTTTAGAATTTTGTCAGTGATGAGTTAAAACACTAGGATGATTATAACTTTTTTTATAAGTGAATTAAACAATGCATTATGAAAAGGGATTACTCACAAGACTCTCCGGATGCGATGTAAAACAATAAGGAAGTTATGAAGTATATATAAAAAATTCGTAGAATAAAACAATATCATCGTTTAAATGGAAAAGCCCTTATAAATAACTAAAACACTTGTTAAGCTGTCACAAGAATGTATGTCAAACAATGGGGCGCTTGTGTAGTGTATTCCGGTTATCAAGAGTATGTAAGCGTTAGAAGTCAATGTAAACGATGAAACTTGAATTTAATCTTTTAATGATATTCATGTTATAATTTTGACAAGTAACTTGCAACTGTTTTACCCCCAAAAAATCTAAAGCACCGACATAGTTACTGACGTGTTTCCTCTCGAACCAGAAAGTTCAGTAACACCTATGATATTAGAGTTAGTTAACCCAAGCAACGGACACGAAAGTCAATGTTATCAGTGAGAAACTTGTATAAAGTAATGATTTTGAACAAAAAAAATAGTTTCAAAGAAGCGGAAAATATTACAATAGTACAGGTGATACTAAATTAATATCCCCAGATATATCTTTACGAAACTGAAATTGAAAGTACTGTTCGACAAATGGTCTATGAGCGCTTATGTACCTCATGTAATAATGAGTTGTGTCATATTTTTGGGGACCTTCTTGCTGAACATGTGTCTGAGTTAAATCGTAAAAATTCACATGCACAGTGATATAAAATGGAGTGCAAGTATTAGTTACTCGCACTCTATAGCATGCCCATTGATTGGATCTTTTTTTCTGGGGTTTTCTTATTGTGACGGCAGAAAAAGGGATAGCGGACTAAGGACACCTAAGCAAAAACTTTAAAAAAGAAGTTGTCCTACTTTGAAGAGACATCAATATCAATATGCTTATAATTTAATTTCTATGTTAACATTTTTTTCTTAGCTACAAGAAATAATACCGTCATTGTTATGCAAACATTGCTAATATTTCTATATGTATCGAAAACTTAGAAAGAACACATGCAAGTTAACCAGTTTTACTTCGGCCGAGAAACATGTTTTAAAGATACTTCTTGTTATTTATTAAATAACACTCTTGCATGGATACATGGTATAGACAACCAGCATTTTATCTGTAAATGATAAACATGCGTATGAAACACAAATATTGTTAATTAAAGGTGAAAATGTAGACTGCTTTATATAACATCAAGCAATTGTTTCCTTTTTCAGTCTTCTTATGTCACAAAGGTCCTCTTTTGAAATCGGATTATGATAAGAATTGGAATAAAGCTAATCAAATTAAGATATAAACAAGTTTTTTTTTATATTATTTTGAAGCAGCATCTTGTCTCTTTTTTGGCAAAATGTCTTTATTAGTTTTGACCTATTCCAGGGCGCAAAAAGCTGTTTCTGCGTCTACACCTACATCTGTTATGTACTCTCTGACATTGTTTTCCCTGGGCTTCACACCTGCCTGGTTGACCCCTACTTCGAGCTCCTGTATCAACACACACTGGCCCACGTCGTCGACAAAGTGGTCCTTTACGAAGCGCTGTTGTACATGGCAGCTCACTCATTAACATCAATGAAATCAGCAAAATACACACAACGAAGACTGTCTTCATTCCTGGTTTTGCTGTAATACGAAGATATAAAACTAAATTAATATTTCATATGGCATTGATTTAGTGGAACACATGATTCATTTTCAAGTGTGTCCTGTTTTGCTGTAATATAGAGAACACCATGTTCACGAATATGACACGATATTTACTGAATTTAAAGACGTTTGGTTGAATAGACATTAATTTAATTCCCCAAGTTTACAAAAGAAGATAATCACAAAGTTGAGAAAAGATGAAGATATTCACAAGATTTTCGAAGGACATGATGAAGATATTCACAGTTAACAAAGGAAGAAGATATTCACCAGATTTTCGAAGGATATGTTAAAGATACTTACCGGATTTTCAAATGATATGATAAAAACATTCACCTGATTTTTTAAGGATATGACAAAGATATTCACCGGATTTTTCGAAGAATATGATGAAGATATTCATCGGATTTTTCGAAGAATATGATGAAGATATTCACCGGATTTTTCGAAGAATATGATGAAGATATTCATCGGATTTTTCGAAGAATATGATGAAGATATTCACCAGATTTTAGAAGGACAGTATGATAATATTTCCAACAGTCGTCATCTGACACAGACAGTGATGATCCTACTTAAACTAAACTTCAATTTTCTATCATTGATGCAGTAACAGGTACATCTCTCTTATCAACAATGTACATCTCAACAAAAATGACAAATAACTACAAATTTTTCGTCATAAGATTGAAATTTCAACCTACCGTACAAAATAACTATTGTCAACAATCATTATAATTATAATCAAGGATAAATATTAAAACAAATCGGACCAACAATAGATATAAAGAGAAAGTAGTCGACTAAAATTCATAAGTTTTTAACGTATGTCACGAAACTGTGGAAAATTTTAACAAAGAGTTACAAATTTTTCCCCATGCCACAAATAAAAGATCGAAAGACTTGTAAAATTACTATTTATATGAACTGTTAAGTGTTACAATATAATGAACTTGGTATTCATTTAGTATAGTTAAAACGATGATATTCAAAATACTACTCGTTTAACATTTTGCTATCTTTATCACAAATTATTTTAGCAAGTGATATGTTCTTACAAGTTCTACATTCATTATCAACAGCATGACAAAAAAAACTTATTTATCGGGTCTAATGTGCCTTCAATCTCTCCATCGAAGAAAAATAATATATGATAAACATTTATGTTGTGATTAAATAAAATATTTAATTGCATAGATGCATAGAGATATATCTGGAAGAAAAAAACAACTAAAAAGAGAAAAACTTCAAACTTACAAATTGAATTTACAACATTTATTTGATTGATTTAAACACATAAAAAAATAAGTTTGGAATTAATTCATAAACGATTTCAATGACGTTAGAATACTTTCCTATCGATTAAAGAATATATTAATTTTAATATTCAACTTACATTTTATACGTGTTCCAAAAGCGTCCTTTTTTAAAGATATTTTAATTTTTGTGTCTCTCAAATCAATCACATACACTAACAAACACTCGTCTTATCGAAATAAGTCGCAGTTTTAGATATCACGATCATAACAACTCGGGAATTCAAGTACTTCAGCTATACTCAGTAACAAAAAACGCGCGCGCGTCTTATTCGCGAATATTGTTGAAATATACTCGTTTACAATAACCATGCGTTCATACTCATCAACAGTACTCGCTTACCATAAATAGCAGCAGCAGCAGCAGCAGCAGCAACAGAAGCCAATGAATATACCCTTTTATCTTTAGTCCTTGGTAAATAATTTCGCATCCAAATCAATCGGCAATACTTTACAATACTTTAAAAATGCATCCATGCCAAGCAACTGTTCACGACCACTCGAGTCCATACCAATGTACAAAACTTGTGTTCATAACAAATAAATTTAATTTAAATGCGTCTGTGAAAGAAAAGTAAATAGGCGCCCATACCAATAAAATATTCTTGTTTTACAAAAATTGTGTCCATAACTATTAACTTCACTATTACTGGTTTTGATTTTGCATGCGTCAGTAAAAAAATTAAAAATTGGTATGCGTCCGGACATACAAATCAACTTTACTCGTTTAAAATAATTAATCATTTTAAATAACATTCGTTTGTAAAAAGTAAATATATACATATATCCTTGTTTTACAAAAATTGTGCCCATATCAGTCAACTTTACTAGTACTCGTTTTGATTTACATTCGTCTGTAAAAAATATGTGTATGCGTTCATACAAATCAACTTTACTCGTTACAAAATACTTACTCATTTTAATTTACATGCGTTTTTGAAAAAAAGTATATATATATACATATATCCTTGTTTTACAAAAACTTGTGTCCATATCAATCAACTTTACTAGTACTCGTTTTGATTTACATTCGTCTGTAAAAAAATTTGTATGCGTCCATACAAATCAACTTTACACGTTACAAAATACTTACTCATTTTAATTTACATGCGTTTTTGAAAAAAGTATATACATATATCCTTGTTTTACAAAAAGTGTGTCCATATCAATCAACTTTACTAGTACTCGTTTTGATTTGCATTCGTCTGTAAAAAGATTTGTATGCGTCCATACAAATAAACTTTACTCGTTTACAAAATATCTGTCTATATATCTGTACTTATTTTTAAACACTTTTTATACACAACCTTATACAAAAATGTGTATCTTTACTCTATGCTGTTATCTGGCACAGACTCTTTCCATGCCACCAGCGTTGACAGTGTTAAACCAGCTTACTGCACTATTCAGTAAGAAAATATTTTAAAAAATTTCCTTAAAAATTAATGATAAATAGAAAGATGGATAAGCCCATTTAAGTAATTAAGCCCGGTTAGTCTTAACATTGAATTGATTGGAAACCCTATTTATAATTACAACGACACACACAGTCAATGGCTTTAAGACTTGTTATATTTTCTGGTCCATCGGAATCATTGGTTCAAGCACAATAAATGTTGAAAGTTGAGTACCGCTTTTAAAGCCGGTGCTACGGGGAGCATGCGAGTACTGTTATCACTCATGAACAGACTCAATCAATCAAAGTCTGCACTTTTTCCTATAATTTATTGTTATTAATGCTTACGAGAGATCATCCTTTTTCCAGTCTTTTCTACATATACAGGGTTAATAATCTAGTATTGCTATTAGATTAATAGTGTTTCAAAACCCCAAAACAGTGCATTATTCTTTGATAAATATTGACCATCTAAAGTTTAAAAATAAGGAGAAAGAGTGATCCCTCGGAAGCATTAATCACAACAAAATTACTTGAAAGTTACCTACTCGGTTTGATTGAGTCTGTACATGAGGGATGATGAAAAACATCACATCTCCCACGTCCCCTAGCACCGCCTTAAAACTTTAAACTTTAAGAAAGTATTTAGACCACAAATATGTTTTTATCAGCCATGGAAAAATTTTAATTATTTCATCTTTACCAAACTTTATAATTGGTACAAAAGAACCATAGTTATAGAATAAAAGCAAACAAAGCCAAAGTAAAGTATTCATGACAAAAATACCGGAAAAGTTAAATGTTAAATGTGGTTTTTCATAAAATAGAAAGGGGATAAAGCTTCTCTATTTTCTCTCTTTTCAAGTATACTCTTCAGAAAGGAAGTTCACACCTCTCGTTTTCTCTTGAAACTATCTCTCTCTTCAATGCTAGTCAATAACCTTTGTTACTTCTTGTAAACGAGGAAGTAATTTTAATTCACTTATTTTGTTGAGCAATGTTTCTTCATCAAGTAACTGGTTAAAGTCAAGTTCAATTCCTGCGTCATCAGAAATTTGATTACTGCGAAATTCTTGATTTTGTAAACTATCCTATAAAGTCAAGTTGTTTAGCAAACTGTTCTTAAGTTCATTGACTACTTAAGTCGATACAGTACGCCTAACCTTGTTCGTTTACGATTAATCTTACATAACATCTATTCAAAAATAGTGTCTATATATGACTGCGTTTGTCCTAAAGTTGGTTTTAAGTCCTAGAACTTGGGACTTTCTATGAAACGCAGCCAAGGATACCAGCATTATCAAGGAGACTATCAACTAGTGATGAAAAAACGGAACGCTTTAATAACGCTCAAAATAACAAAATTTAAAATGTTGCAGACTCAGTTTGATTGGCACTATTCATGTACATGTAAGCACAGCGATTTTACACGTCGGAGACTATAGGTTTGATACTCGCTTTTAAACAGCAATTGAGCAAGCAGACTTGTTGAATGCGAGGCAAGACACGTACAGCTGGATGTCAATAGCTTTGATACGTGCTTTTTAACAGCTATTGAGCAAGCAGTCTTGTGGAATGCGAAGCAAGACAATTACAGCTAGATGTCAATAGCTTTGATACGTGCTTTTTAACAGCAATTGAGCAAGTAGACTTGTTGAATGCGAGACAAGACACGTACAGCTAGATGTCGGATGTCGATAGCTTTGTACGTGCTTTTTAACAGCTATTGAGCAAGCAGACTTGTGGAATGCGAAACAAGACACGTACAGCTAGATGTCGATAGCCTTTATACGTGCTTTTTAACAGCAATTGAGCAAGTAGACTTGTTGAATGCGAGGCAAGACACGTACAGCTAGATGTCAATAGCCATGATACGTGCTTTTTATCAGCTATTGAGCAAACAATGTTGAATGCGAAGCAACGTGCTTTTTAACAGCTATTGAGCAAGCAGACTTGTTGAATGCGAGGCAAGACACGTACAGCTAGATGTCAATAGCTTTGATACGTGCTTTTTAACAGCTATTGAGCAAGCAGACTTGTGGAATGCGAGGCAAGACACGTACAGCTAGATGTCAATAGCTTTGATACGTGCTTTTTAACAGCTATTGAGCAAGCAGACTTGTTGAATGCGAGGCAAGACACGTACAGCTAGATGTCAATAGCTTTGATACGTGCTTTTTAACAGCTATTGAGCAAGCAGACTTGTTACATATGAAGCAAGACACGTACAGCTAGATGTTGATAGCTTTGATACGTGCTTTTTAACAGCTATTGAGCAAGCATACTTGTGGAATGCGAAACAAGACACGTACAGCTAGCTGTCGATAGCTTTGATACGTGCTTTTTAACAGCATTTGAGCAAGTAGACTTGTTGAATGCGAGACAAGACACGTACAGCTAGATGTCGGATGCCGATAGCTTTGATACGTGCTTTTTAACAGCAATTGAGCAAGTAGACTTGTTGAATGCGAGGCAAGACACGTACAGCTAGATGTCAATAGCTTTGATACGTGCTTTTTAACAGCTATTGAACAAGCAGACTTGTTGAATGCGAGACAAGACACGTACAGCTAGATGTCAAACAGTGGTAAATAAATACTAGGATAAGAACTATAGCTATAACATCAGCTTCCTGTTCGTGTCCTTTTTCGTGAATTTCTTGTGTTGTAAAGTTTTATTTGTAAATTGTAATTGAGTACACTATGTTTAAAATAAACCGGATGAATGAGAGATTTTATACTTTCCATTATTAATCATTATCAGAAGCAAATAAAACATAGTCTGCAATTTTCGCCTTTTAAATTTGTTTGTCAATGCTCTTGAGGAACCTTCACTCTTCTTTTTTTTATAAACTATCAATATGATTTATGTTCGGATGTGGAATTAATATTTTCTACATGTCTAAACGAGCTAATGAAATTGATTTTGTATTTGTTGGAAGAACACGCCAAAACATTTTTTTTATTCGTACCAGAGGATAAATAATTGATATAGGCCAAGAATTCGCAATTTTGTTACTGTAAAGTCAGTCTATCTATACTTAAATGTGTGAGTGTAGGATTCTTTTGAATGAATTATAATTATTAATAAACATATTTGTATATCGTTCCATACTTTAAACAATTTAGGTTCTTATTATTTTTCAAATTGGATGTCCAATTTATACTAGACTGCTATGATCTAATCCAATGTCACTGTACCTATACATATATATCATTTTTGTCAATGTGTCATATTATAGTTTTATTTGATTAATCAAATAAATTATAAGTTATTGCTGTTTATATTGAAAATACTCATTTTTATACGAATAATTGAATATATATACAATATCTATTGACAGGACTGTATAGTTAGCATTGGCACACGTACACTCATTGTTTAGTATATTCTTTGAGTTTTAAAGATACAACAGGAATATTTATTGTGAAATTAAACGTAACAAGCGCTGGTAGTGAAAATTTCTATGATTATACCGTGTCAGGTCTAGGCTTTTTTGTTAAAACATATATACGTACAACCTAATCTGCCATTTTACCTGTCTGTCTGGATAGATTAAACGCCATGTTTCAATCGTATATTGAACATATAGATCATTTAGTGGCGCATTCTAGGTTTGTGATTTAAAAGATGGGTATCCGTCCAAATTTACAAAAACTAACTTTACTATACTTATTTTGGATATGTTGTTGAAGGTATGATATTGATTTTGGTTAAGTTATTATATAGATATTGATATACAAAAGCTGGTCTGAAAAATATGATATAAAATAAATATCAAATATCAACTTTGGAAATAAAGAACAATATTATATGATATAAAACAAGAGAATACTTTTCTTCTCTAAATGAATTTTGATTTTCTGTTAAAAATCTGTTTGTGCATCAAGTTACATTCTAAAGATTTATTAACAAATACGAACATTAAGTCTAGACCTTAAATGGTATAGCATTTTTATATTGATTGTCACTTTTGATTGAAGGGCAATTGACTTACTTTCGCTGGACCAGAGAGCCAACCTTTGACAATCGTACAACCGGACATAATATCACTTCTCTAAACGAGATGGACTGCTGTCGCACCTGTTCACTCAATTACTCGTGCATTCCTTTAATCTTCATACGAGATGAAAATTCAAATTATCAGTTACTGGTCTATCAGAAGATTTGTTAATGAGACAGAACGCTATTTACTACATCAAAGGCGAGTACAAGCATAGAAATCACTTTATTACGTATAATAAGTGTTTTTAAAACAAACTAAGATCGTTTTATTAACGTATTTACTTACATAAACAAGCATAATAATAATAATAGTAATAATGATTATCATCATCATCATCATCATCAACATCATTTTACTATGCTCTCAAGGACTGTATTCTTATTCTTTTGTTATAGAAATGTAA